CCCCCCCCCCCCCCCCCCCCCCCTCTCTCTCTCCCCCCCTCTCTATCTACACCATAAGTCTTCTCTTTTCTCTCTCTCTCTCTCTCTCTTTCTCTGTTCAATTTTCTTCTCTTGCTACTGTTTATCTTCTTGGGTTCTTCACTTGTTTTGATCCCAACACCTCAAAATCTCTTGGGAATCTCAAATGGGCTGTTTCTATTCTAGCTTCTGACTTCTCAAAATCTCTCAATCCTTTGTTTTTCTCTCCTTTCTTTGATAAGAGAGCTCCGGTGCTCTGATGGGTTTTGTCCATTGTAGATTCTTTCTCTGAAAATTCCTTCTTTATTTGATTTCCTTCTCTTTTGTGGCATCTAGGTCTCATCTGAAATGGGAAACAGGGGAATTCTCTCGTATCTTCTCTGCTTCCTCTTTCTCCTTCGATCTTCCTCTGTTTACTCACAAACCCAACCCTGCAATCCAAATGATCTCAACTCGTTGAGAGTTTTTTTAACTGGTCTCAATGCTACAATCCCAGGCTGGAGCTTCAGCACCTCCGATTGCTGCTATTGGCGCGGAGTTTCCTGCGGCGTCGGCCGGAGAGTAATTGGATTGGATCTCTTCAACATGAGCTTGAAAGGGTCAATTTCTGAATCATTATCTGGTTTGGATCAATTGAGAAGGATCAATTTCTCTGGTAATTCTCTTCATGGCCTTGTTCCGAGACAAATTTTCCATCTTCAGAAGCTGGAGCAGCTTGATCTCAGTGCCAACGAGCTCTCTGGTTCAATCCCCTTGGATGCTAATATTCCGTCGATCCAGTTCCTGAATATTTCTCGCAATCTGTTCAATGGGAGTCACCCGATTCTCGCAGGATCGAAAAACTTGAGCACTTTCGATGTCAGTTTCAATGAGTTCGCTGGTAGTATCAATACTAGCATCTGCAATGACTGGGCAGCTATTCAAATCCTTCAGTTTTCGATGAATTTCTTTTCCGGTGAGTTTCCTGTTGGATTTGGAAACTGCAGCTTGCTGACTGAGCTCTCTTTGGATGTGAATGAGATTTCTGGCAACCTGCCTGAAGATTTGTTCAAGCTCTCATCTTTGACGAGGTTCTCTATTCAGCAAAATCGGGTTTCGGGCAGATTGGATGCTGCAATCAGTAATCTCTCTAATCTTGCGCAGTTGGATATTTCTGTTAATGATTTCTCAGGAACTATACCAAATGTGCTCAATAATCTCAAAAGGTTGGAGTCTTTTTCTGCTCAGTCTAATAGATTCCAGGGTCCTTTACCTTCATCCCTATCTAACTTGTCTACACTCAAGGTACTTAACTTGAGAAACAATTCTCTGAGTGGTAAAATTTCTCTAAATTTCACTGCCATGACTCAATTAAGCTATCTTGATCTCGGGTCAAATCTTTTTACTGGTACTATTCCTTCTGACCTGTCACAATGTTCAAAACTCAAGCTCTTGAATCTGGCAAACAACAGTCTTGCTGGAGAGATCCCTGATAGCTTCAAGAGTCTTGTTTCACTATCAGATCTCTCCCTCTCAAAGAATTGCTTGTCTAATATATCTTCCGCATTGGGGATCCTGCAGCATTGCCCAAGCCTTACCAATTTGGTCCTCACGAGAAATTTCCTTGGCGGTGAAAGAATGCCTGTAAATGGGATTCAAGGATTTACAAATGTGGAAGTTCTCGTTATTCCCAATTGCGGCCTCTCAGGATTCGTGCCAACTTGGCTGATCAATTCTACGAAATTGAAGGTCTTGGATTTGTCATGGAATCAATTAGAAGGGTCAATCCCTTCATGGATTGGGAATCTTGAACATCTTTTCTATTTGGATCTCTCGAACAATTCTCTTGCTGGAGAAATCCCTATTAGCTTGACACAGATGAAGGGTCTCATTTCGTCTGATAACTCATCACAACATACCTCGATACAAAACTTCCCCTTCTTCATCAGAAGGAATATTACAGCCAAAGGTTTGCAGTACAAACAGGTGAGCAGCTTCCCGCCATCTCTGATGCTTTGTAGCAACATGCTTGTCGGATCGATATTGCCAGGGTTTGGAGATCTTAAGATGCTTCATGTGTTAGCTTTAGACAACAATCGCCTCTCTGGTAACATTCCTGAAGAATTATCAAATATGTCAAGCTTAGAAACCTTGAATTTGGCACACAACAATCTCACTGGTAGCATTCCAGAGTCACTGGTAAAACTCAATTTTCTATCGAGTTTCGATGTGTCTTATAATGATTTGGTTGGTCCGATTCCTTCTGGAGGTCAATTCTCGACTTTCACAACTGCAGATTTTGACGGAAACCCTGGCCTTTGTAATTCTAGCTCATCTTCATCTTCATCTTGTACTGCAAAAAATTCTATTCAATCTGTGAAGAAAAGGAGGAACAAAGGCATAATTGTTGCGATGACATTTGGGATTGGGCTAGGGACGGCTATTTTACTTGCTATTGTTTACTTGATTGTTTCAAGACCTCATTCAAGAATACAAGAAGATACTGCAAAAGAGGAGGCAAGCGCAAATGGGTATTTAGAAACTGCCGGTTCTACATTAGTCCTTCTGTTTCAAAACAAGGATAATACAGAGATAACCATCGGCGATATCATGAAGTCAACTGGCAATTTTTCCCAAGAAAATATAATTGGATGTGGGGGCTTCGGTCTTGTTTACAAAGCAACTCTCTCTGATGGCAGAAAAGTCGCTATCAAGAGGCTTTCAGGTGATTATGGTCAAATGGAGAGAGAATTTCACGCTGAAGTTGAAGCCCTTTCTAGAGCACAGCACGAAAATCTTGTTCTACTTCAAGGTTATTGCAAGATTGGGAACGATAGGCTCTTAATTTATTCGTACATGGAGAATGGAAGCTTGGACTATTGGCTTCATGAGAAGTTCGAAGAAGGATCAGCGCTAGATTGGGAAACAAGGCTTCGGATAGCTCAAGGTTCAGCAAGGGGATTAGCTTATTTACATCAATCATGTCAGCCTCATATACTTCATCGTGACATAAAATCAAGCAACATACTCCTTGATGAGAATTTCGAGGCTCATTTGGCAGATTTCGGGCTTGCAAGGCTTGTACTTCCTTATGATACTCATGTGACAACTGACTTAGTTGGTACTTTGGGATATATACCTCCTGAATATGGTCAATCTTCGGTTGCTACCTTCAAAGGCGATGTTTATAGCTTTGGTGTTGTTCTTTTGGAGCTTTTAACTGGTAAAAGGCCTGTAGACATGTCGAAGCCTAAGGGGTCTAGAGATCTTATATCGTGGGTGATTCAAATGAAAAATGATAAGAGGGAAGCTGAGGTTTTTGATCCATTTATATACGATAAGGAGAATGATGGCCAGATGATCAAGATGCTCGACATTGCTTGCCTTTGCTTGAGCAATTCGCCGAAGTTGAGGCCATTGACACATCAATTAGTTACATGGCTTGATAATATTGGCCTTGCTGGGCAATTAATAAAGTGAGAGGATAATGTTTGCTTATGTGAGCAATTGTTGGAGATGACCCCAGGAGATGGTGATCCATTTGTGTAAATATATATTTGCATATAATCAAGCACTTCTTCTATGAATATAGAGGAGATGCAATAAGCACAGGCGCAATTATTACAGGCTACAATATACATCTCGATAAGCTGTAAGTTATTACACTTTTCCCCCTTTTTGTAATTGATACCGTAGCTTTATTTCAAATACAAATCAGTGCATTGAATCTCACTGTCATTGGAGTTGATCCCATACTCCATGCTATTGAAGATATAAATACAATTATAGTGACATGTAAAATAGGCATTTTTCTGAAGAAATTTTGTTTGGTTGTTTTTCTTTCAAAACTCAAAATACATGTCAGCGGGGTACATCTCGCATTAGAGAAAGTTCTTTATCAAGAATTTGATAGTATATTCTGAATGTCAATCAAAGAAACATAAATTTAATAGTGCTTCCAACTCATGAGATTTGTGCATTACTGACTGTTATTGTTATATATAGAAAATGATGAACATAAATCATGGGTGAATCTGCGTTATCACAACCTCTATAATTGTACCCATGAAAGCCTAGTGATATTGTAAACAGGAATGTATTGTAGAATCAAATAATATAACTGACATCACTTTCAGTGCAAACTTGGCTATAGTTTGAAAACTTACAGCAACTTTCTACTGCAAAATGTCAAAAAATGAAAAAGAAAGGGTTGGG